CAGGACTTTAACAGTGTTTGCATTAGTAATTTACTTGATAGTTCTAACCATGGGTTTTATAGACCCTTGTGGTTGTATGTTATTCTAGAGTGGAAGTGTTATGTGTTGTTATTTTTGAGTGTAACTTCAAATGGATTTAGAGAGGCTTCTGTGGCTTCTCTCTGTGTTTAATAAGTTACTTATTGTCACTCCTGGGGAAGCTGATGCTTGCAGTGAGCATCTGGACTGGGAGGCATGAAAGAGCTCAACCATCTGCCTTAATTCTTCTACAGTCTGCCAGTTAATCTGTCAGGAGTATCTCTGGGATGAGTGCGTCTTTTTGGATGCAGATCTTCTAAAACAGTCAGTTTCTTGCATCAGTTGTATGGCCCAGTTTTCTCATTTCAGCTGCTTTATTTTTCTGCTGAGTGTGTCAATCAAATGGATATTTATGAGGAAGGAACAGTGTTTCCTTGGGGTTAAAAAGCTGGCTGGTCGCATCTACGTTGGTGTTAGAATGAACTTCTGAAATGAATCTTGTGTTTCTTGGTGGTAGTTCTGGAGCACTGAATTATCTTTCAGCACTTATGCCTGAAGAGTTCTATGTTGGTTTAACGTGATGCTAAAAATCTTATATGACCTTTATGGCTTTGTAGGCATTGCAGTTTGCAACATCCCTTCCTCCTCAGTAGAGGAGACTGCTGACTCCACCCTCTGCCACATCTTGAACCTCTATCGCCGTGTTACTTGGCTACATCAGGCTATGCGGGAAGGGAGTCGAGCCTCAAGTGTAGAACAGATTCGAGAGGTGGCTGGAGGCGCTGTGCGTATCCGTGGGGAGACTTTGGGCATCATTGGACTAGGTAAGTGATGAGAATTGTTAGATTGAAAAGTGAACTGTGAAAGTTTTTGGGAACTAAGAGTCACAGACTGAAAAAAAAATTATAATTTTACAGCTGTCCATTGTGAAACACACTGACTCAGAAGGAATGCTAGTGCCCTATTCTGTGATGCTGGATATCTTCAAGAGTTGGGTGTATGTCATGGGATTGGGGATTTTTTTCGAATTCAAATGGCTAGAGGAATTGGAACATTCAGACAGCTCTTCTCGGTGGCTGTTCCCCTGTGTGCTAGGCTCTGTAGCAAAGCCACCTGAAAGCTACCCATTCCTTCTCCGAGTTCTTGTAATCAGATTATTACCACCTCTGACTCAGGGTCCAGGTTTGATTTGAAAAGCAATGCTCCTTCTAGGCCAAGCTCTGGCTGTTGCATGGGGAAGGACTAGAATCAGCCATATGGGATCAGCACTGAATTACCTCCTCTGGATCCCTGTGGCAATCCTAGAGGTTTCCAGGACTGCAGTATCTTGAGCCCTGTCAGTAAACTCCAGTGTAGGCTCCCAGTCAACCCCAGTATCTTGTCTTTAAAGTTTGTTTTACCTTTCCTTGATGATTGTGGGTTTTCTTTTGTGAAGGCCGAGTTGGACAGGCAGTGGCTCTGCGAGCCAAGTCCTTTGGCTTCAACGTGATTTTCTATGACCCCTATCTGCCGGATGGAGTGGAGCGATCCTTGGGTTTACAACGAGTAGGAACCCTGCAGGATCTACTAATGCACAGCGATTGCATCACATTGCACTGCAGCCTGAATGAACATAACCATCACCTCATCAATGACTTCACTATTAAACAGGTGCAGCAGGAGCTTGATTTCCCCCACAGAGCACTGTGGAAATGAATGCAAACAGAAACTGCTGCTTTCACAGAGGCTGAGAGCGTGTGAATCCTGCTGCCTCTGTCGTGTGCCTCCTGCTGCCTTTGGAGGCTGGGAGCGTGTGGATTCGGGTGCCTGTGCTTTGTGCTGTATAGAATTTCGTGTTAAGAGAAGAACAAGATTGGCTCTTTTTGCCAAATAATTTCAGTTATAAAGAATGTTTTAGGTGATTCAATAATTTCAAATTACCTTTAAAATGCATAATTGACTGTGCTGATTAGAGCCAGATGTGATGTGGCTGGGACTGTATAAGTTTCTTTACACAGCTCTGCCAAAGCCTCTCTGCCCAAGCCCACTGCAAAGTCAGTCTCGGGCTCTACTCCACTAGTCTGTGAATGCTTTTCAGTGCTTTCGTGAGAGACATCTGGACGTTGTAGTCCAGTTTTGTATAGCGGCTCTTCGAGCCAAGTCCTTACTTGATTCATGTCCTGTTTTCTTTTTTAATGTAGTAGGATGAATATGGAGTGCAAAACTTGAGATTTCCACTTTTGCCCTTGTTGTCTCGTGCTTTTGTTTGTTCATTTGTAAAGCAAATTTTTCAAGCATCGCTTGCAGGCATTTCCCCTGTGGTTAGCTTTGCAGTGAGAGCACTCCTAGTTCTTCCAGGCCTCATCTAATCACTGCAGGCTCCTGCTTATTTCCAGTAGACTTCCCAAGATTCACTTAGCTTCCATGAAAAGTCTCATTCTCAACCCACTTAATATTTTTCTTCTTCCAGATGCGACAGGGCTGCTTCTTAGTGAACACAGCCCGGGGAGGGCTGGTAGATGAGAAAGCCTTAGCGCAAGCCTTGAAGGAGGGGAGGATCAGAGGAACAGCATTGGACGTACATGAGTCTGAGCCTTTCAGGTAACGTTGCACCTGCATGCCTTCTACTATCCTGTGACTCAGCTATGCTGGATTATTCTTTTGGTTTTCTGGTATTTCAGTTACAGTGATTCCCGAGAGGACAGATGGCATTATCACTTCTGGAGAGAAAACACTTTTTTTTTTTTTCCCCCCTCCCCCCACCACAGCTTTGCTCAGGGGCCCTTAAAGGATGCACCCAATGTGATCTGCACACCTCACACTGCCTGGTACAGTGAGCAGGCCTCCATTGAATCCAGAGAAGATGCCGCTAAAGAGATCCGCAGAGCTATTACAGGTAATGAGGAAGATTGTGTGCTCTGCAGCTGCTGCTGAATTAGTACTCTTTTGTTAGTTCACTGTGAGGATTATGCTGATTGTTCTGAAAACTTAGAATCAGTAACCAGTTTCTGGAACTGGAGTGTAAGTTGGTAATTGTCTCTTTGCCTTCTGAGAATCTTGTAACTAATGCTGGAGTGCCACTTTCCCTCCCTGGGAAAGCCGTGTACCTAGTACGTCTTCCAAATCCTTTGCAATAAGTCCTTTGACAGTTACACTGTACTCTTTTGTTCTGGAGTAGTACATATTGTCTCTTGGGGAAGGTGAGGCTTGGCAATTGCAGTCTGTGGCCAATAATTTCCACAAGATAACAAAAGTGGGAAGGAAGGATCAGTTTCTTGTCTTCTCCAGAGACCAGTTATTCAGAGGAGAATCTCCCCTACCCAGGGTTATCCTGTGGAGGTAGATGGAAAAGATGTTGTGTGTTTCCTTCCTACTTTCCTTTGTAAATGCTTCAGGGGATAAGCCCGTCCTGCTTGTGTCCTGGTGTTTTATCATTCTTGGCGCTCTTGCAGGTCACATACCTGATGCTTTGAGGAACTGCGTTAATAAGGAGTACTTGCTGTTAGCAGCTCAGTGGTCCAGTATTGATCCTGCAACTGTCCACCCAGAACTCAACGGAGCTGCAGCTTACAGGTGAGATGTGTAGGTTGTCCAACTTTCTGCTTTCAAGCATGTCTTACTGCTGAAGTAGGCCAACATCCCTCTTTGGGTTGGAGAACTGCTTGTACCTGCGAGCAGGTATGTTTCATATACTCTGTAGGTGAGCTCTTTCCAGAAACTTAACAGTAGTGCTTCTGAAGCTGTACTAAGATTTAACATTTACTTCGTCATATTTAGTTGCAGCTGCATACTCATTAATTTTTCCAAATCTTGCAAGACCTGCTGAAGAGATACCTTGATATACGAACGCCTACTGGGTGCCTGAAAAGAGGTCTGGATCTTAACGTTTAGAAGTTGTGCATATCATTAGGGCTGTATAAACGAAGCACAGTTCTGATCTGTAGCCCAAATATGGACTACTAAAGAGACATTGTCCAGTGGATTTGGGCATTGGCCTAAACAGGGTGTATTTCAGTTTGTCTGTTACAGAGCTGCCAAATGATTGTGGGCAGGCTGCTTCCCTTCTGTTTTTCTCCTATCTGCGAAGTAGGAAATATACTCTCTTCCCTTCTCTGAGGTCTACAGAGGTTTGGATGTATTTACGGAGAAGGCACAGGGAGTCAGAATGGAAGTAATGGAAGAATGGTTCATTAGCAATTCATGAGTATCAGTCTTGGTTTTCATATTATGTCTAGCTGTTTTATTAGTTCAGCTCCTTGCTTTTTCTGTCTTAGAGCCCAGTGAAGGATAACTGGCAGATTGCACTCCTCCTGCTGATGGAGAGGGAGTTTCCAGCCCTTCAGGGTACCTTCATGCAGTGCCTCACACTGTTTTCCACTGGAGATAAACTTTATACCTGTTTTCCAGATGTATATGACCTGAGACTATCTGCCTGCCTGAGAACAGGTGTCATTTGGTATTACGATGTAACTGCTACTGTCCAGCTCTGGTGACGTTTCCTGTCTTCTATCTCAGAGCATTTCTATTGGAAGGAGGGATTTGTGTAAAAAAAGGGCACGGCTTCTTTCCCCTTGCATAACTCTGTTGGACAAGCTTGTAATTTCTGTGTTTCTATTGGTTTCAGGTTTCCTCCAGGAGTAGTGGGAGTAGCCACTCCTGGGCTACCAGAACCACCAGTAGTGGAAGGGATTGTAGCTCATGGGATCCCTTCTGTTTCTCACTCTGCACCGCGTACCCCTTCCCCAGGAGAGACCAGCAAACTGGATGCAGACAGAGAGATTC